CGAAAGTTGCGCACCGCTTCTCAGGAAGTATAAAGGATCATCCTCATGTTGCAATAGCTCGTCCAGCACCCCTTTTTATTCCTTTCCGTAGCAGCCTTCGCCTCCTCCGCAAATCGGTCAAAGATTACAAATCCGGACGGGCGAGAAGGGCTGACCAACGTCAGAGCCAAGCTGGTGAAGAGGGTCTTCTGTTGACGGCACCGAGACGAATGACCCAAATTCTGAATCGGTGGAGGATGTTCGAGAGTGCTCTGTGTTCCGGGGTCGGACGATCTCCATTATTGGTTCATCTGGAACTGGATGCAAAGTAGGGGATGCCCGTGGCGTCGCGGGGGAGAACAAGGTTGCGAATATGTCGTCTTTAGCGTCGTTATTCGTGAGCCGCCGCGATGTCTCGGCTGGAAGGGGTATCAATGGTGGAATGGATATAGGCTGGGACATTCTGTTATGCTATGTCAAATAAGTCGTATCATGAAATGCGGTGTAGATTTTCCACTCTGTAGTATCGTGAGGACGTCTGAGCCGAGGTACTGGTAATACGACAAACCTACTGCAGTGGTAGTAACACAGTACGAGGGACAAAAGATACACAGTTTATCCTCGTTGTTCGAGCGAGCAGCTCTGGCAGCAACCGATCGCAACGTTGTGGTCGCTGGCGGAGAGATACATAGACGCCAAGGCATAGTTGCCCGCCGCCTCTATCTTTGTCGAGATAATACGCATCAAAATAGCGCATCAATCTGATGGCCGAGTGGCATCGTGGCGCTCAGCGATGCTTTTCCTCCATGACTCTCATGAAAGGTAGCAGTCAAAATCATGCACTAGCGACAAATATTTTTACCTATGTTTCCGCGTAAAGAGGTTCAAATCTAGTGCTTCACTACGACGAATTCGCACTTGCTGATCAACCATCGCTCACAGCCTTCACCGTGACGACCGTTTTGTCTGGACCTTTGACTCCTGACAACGGCTGGAAGCCACGAGTACTCCTCGTTTCTTCAGCGTGGGCATAATTTCGTCACTTCTCCGTGCCTTTAGCGAACATGTGTCTCGAAATTGTATCACAGGTTCCCTGATCCACGTTTTTCTTTGGTTGGCGGGGCGGAAGGCTGTGCGTCCCGACATGCCAAAGGCGGTACAAGGCGGTCCAGGGTACCCTCATTCGTACCATCGTACCATCTATCCTTGCACTTTCGATGCCCGGATATGCTTTACTTCGGTCATCCTCCAAGATTCCACAGCGGCGCCTCCAGCATGTTCCACAGGGGAACGCCGTTAACACGTTGTCGTTATGAAATCATGGTGCATATAAAGGCTCAAGCTACGGACGCTACACCTTACGTTTGCTTGCTTGTTACACTCACATACGACCTTTCTACCCTCTCTTGCGCTTCAACACTCTTCAGCCACCTACACCATGGCAACTGTCAACGGCATCCGGGTATTCCTCTATGTGCTCTTGGTAAGTGGATACTCCACGAGCATTGGAAATTTCAAGCTCATAATCATACGCCACCATCGTAGTGGCTGTTTGCGGCAGTAACTCTGGGTCTGAGTGCGGCGCGGATACACTATACTCTGCACATTCCTCCTGGTGACCCTCTGAACCGTGGCGTTGACTTCTATGGTGCGCGTTATATATCCATCACATTGTTCTCCCTTTATCCTAATTATTACTTACACCTATAGACCCCATTGTCGCTGAACTCTTGGCCACGTCGGCCATAACCGTTCTCTGGGTCCCTTGGGTGTGCGTACCTGAGTAGTTACTCGCTCCTTGCCACACGCCACTGACGTCGTACGCGTTCCAGCGTCTCCATCATAACACGCACTTACGACTACGGCATCGTCTCCACCTTCCTGAGCGAGACGATTGGCCTCTTCATCCTGTTCGTTCTCTGGCTTGTCGGCGCAGCTATCGCTACGGTGCGTCCCTTCCTGCTTCCTGAAGTACTTTGAGCGCTGACATGGTAGCCGCAGTCCTCCTGGGGTAACCTCGCTTGGTGCCATATCTACCTGCCGTGCCGCGTTCTCACGGCCCTCGTCGCTTTTGCCTGGATGAGCTTTATCATGGTCTTTGTCCTGCTCATCATCAGCGTCATGTTCTCCATTGCGAACAGGGCATTCAAGCAGCCGATGCACGGACGGTACGACCCGCGCTCGAGCTATGCCCCCAGCTACCGCGTATGAACCAGTAGGATCGGATAACGAGCTATTTGGAGCACATGAACTAGCTAAATCGATTGTAACATGTAGATGCCTGTAATAGTCCCACCTCTATTATTTTATAATGACCAGGACGACGTTATCTCCTATCCATGGCGCCTGCAATTCGATCATTTTTGGCACGGGTGATCATCCACCATTCCGGCGTCCAATTTGCTTTGCTACCAGAAGCAACACCACGTGCTCGTCGAGTTATGCTGTGTATATAGGCTCGGGACGAGGATGCTTCGCCTTCCGTCTGTCGTATTCATACCCTTCGACACCATCTATACAAGTAATGGACGACCTACCACTGAACATTCGCTCAGCCGTGGTGAGTACTGGTGGCCACGCTACTGATCCGCAGAATTTCGAGCTCGTCTCTAAGATCGCCGTTTAGTGGCCTTTCGCTGTAGTGACTCTCGGCCTAAGTGGTGCAGGGCTTCATTACACGTTGCGCAACTTGTCCACAGGCCCCTTGGACGATAGCCAAAGCTTTTTTAGTACGTGCGACTCTGCGCGGTTCATAGAAAACACCTAACACGCAAACGTATATGCTGGTTCATAGAACCCGTCCTCACTGAGCTTATTGTCACTTCGGCTATAACGATCCCCTGGTCTCATCTGCCTTCAAAGTACCTGAACTCCCCTGGCATTCTTTGGCGCACTTCACTAACATCGTGCATATCCTTAGCTGGTTCATCTCCGAGAGGTACGACCTCATCATCCTGACCACCCTTTGGCTCGTCGGCGCAGCCATGGCCACAGTATGTCATCCCTGCTCTCAGCCGGAAGCTTCTCAGTCACTGATACAGTTATGGTTAATGCTAGTGCCTCTGGAGCAGTGGTTCCTGGTGTCACCCTGACATGCCCTGCCACCTGCTTACGGCCCTTGTCGCCTTTGCATGGATGAGTTTCCTCCATATCAGCGGCCAGCTTACCGTTCAGCCAAAGACCGATTCTGATGGTTGTCTGGCTTAGC